ACTCTACCAGTCACTTGTATAAACTTGGACAGCTTGCCTCAGTTTCCTTTTCTCACCCTGTCTCTGCCTTGTTGGTTTAGACTGTAAGCTCTTTTTGGGGTAGGGAGAACCTCTCACAGTGGGACTGTCAAAACGCATATTGCACCATGCTTGTTAAAGTTAGAGCTTATTGGAAAAAACTTCAGGGAACCATTTTCATTTGGAAAATGCAGTTCAATCTAATGGAAATATTTAATGAAACTGAGCCAATGTTGCCAATATTTCATTTGGGGGAGGGGGAGAGGAAAAATGATTCCAATACTGTAATATCCTGTTTTTACCTTTCACAATGGAACATTTTGAGGGTTTTTTTTAAATTTTGAAATGGTTTTTAATTTCCAAATATATATAGATTTTGTATTCTGTTGCTTAATGTAGACGGGTGTGTGCGTATACCTTTTGCATCCATTGAAACCCAAAAACTTATTACAAAAGGATATGTGTGCGTATGTGCGTGCACTAACAGAATACAAAATAAAAAGGCATAGCTGACATGAAACATTTCAGTCGATTTTGCTAAAAGAAAAATGAGGGTTGTTTTTTTTTTCCTCCAGAATTTTCTTTTTTGGAAACATTTTCAACTATTGGAGTTTTATACTGGATCAGAGTGAAAATATAATTTGATATCTCAAAATCCTGTGTAAAAACAAACTTCCATCTTTGCACAATCCAAGATAAAATAACCTAAATCTTTCTGTGAACACTTACTTTGATTGAGGAACTTACTTCAGTTTAGCAGACACCTACTCCTTATTGATTTTCAGAAGTGTAACTGGTCAGTTTTGTTCTCTGGGCAGTTCTGCACCCTCCCACACCTGCACCCTGAACCTTTTTTCCTGTGGCAGTGCAGGGGGAAGGACACAATACAGCAGCAGTGGCACATGGCGCAGGAGCTGCCGCTGGAGGTTTATTGTGGCTGGGGGAGATGTCATGTCTTTTTTGGTGCCTACATGCATGTCCAGCAGCCAAAAAACCCACCAGTTTTTGGCGGCAGAAAAAGATGGCATCCCTCCCAGCAGCAGTAAAACTTTGGCTGCTTCTTTTGCGCTGCACACCCTTTGAATGGAGGTGAGTTTTTCACTCTCTTCTCTGCACACCCCAGTGCTGCAGCTGGAGTTGCTGCATGGGGATGGAGGGGAGGATGGGCATCTCCCTAGCACCTTCCCCCACCCCCACACACACCCTAGGCAGTGCCTGCGGCTCATGCCCCACTTGCCCACCCATCCTTACACTACTGTTGATTTGACTAAACTGAAATGGGCCTGGTTTAAACCATTTTTCCCATCCTGTCTTTTGAACTAGTTTAGTGAACTTTGCTTCAAATGGCAACTTCAGTTAGACAGGTACCAGGGTGTGTAGATACCAGCCCCATGTGAGTGTAGAGTACGGAGCTAAATCGGCTCTCGGGCATGATACAAATCCTGCATCTCTTTGCTAAAAAATCAACACTTGGCTGAAAACAATTTGCAAAAGTATCTCCAGGGGGAGCTTGCTCCTTCTAATTCTGCTTTAAGTATGGAGCCCTTGCTAGCTTGGCAGGTTAGACTAAATGGGAGTCATCTTTGGCAGGAGTGGGCCTGGGTCAATGTTGCAATGAAGCAAAAATTTTGGAGAGCCCGCTGGGTTACATGACTCAGGTCTTGCTCAATTACAGCTGTAATCTAGAGCCCTCTGGAAGTAGCAATCTTGCTGGCAAAGACTGAGCTGATGCTCTGCTGTGCTGAGGCCGCACTTGTTGGGCCACTGAGGCATAGTCTGCTTTCATGGCTCGCTCCTCTCGCACAGTGTTCAGCCTGGTGCTGAAGCCACGTGGAGGGGAGGAGCGGATGCCGTGCTAGAATTCATGTTATCACCAGTGTAGGAATGTTGCAGTGGCTTATCGTTTCCTCTGGGATCTGAACAGTCGTTCTGCTGACAGAGGGTTTATTATCTGGTGGTTGAGACATTGTGGGAGAAGCCAAGCCAGGATTTTCTTGTATGCATGGGAGGAAGGAAACAGTGTAGAGCAGAGCTGGAGACCTGCTGAGCGATAGTGTCTGGTACCCTTCTACGACATTCCCTGCACCATTGTAGCAAGAGAGCAGCCTGGCACCGGCAGTCTGATTAAAAGGGAACAGCGTGGTTCATTAAGAAAACACATCAAGGTTTCCTCCACACACAGCGTCTTGCTGGGGGATGTTGGGATCTACGACCTTGGAGCTGGGTTTCTCACAGCACCAGTCAACCCCTCAGTGCCAGGGCCTGCCCTTTCTCAGAGTTGGTCTGTGTGTTTAGATGTAATATCTTACATTTTTTCAGAGTTAGTATTGCCAGAAGGTGTAGAGCTAATGGCACTGAGGACTGACATCTTGTCTTGGGCCTGAGCCCAGGGTGGAATCAGGAATTTGGCAGACCATGAAGGACTCCTCTACCAAGCCTCTGGGCTATGCCCAGGAAGGGCACAATGAAGCACATTCTTCCCACTCACTCCTGCTCCCCATATGCCAAATCCCGCAGATGAGGCAAAGAGCCCACTTAGAGTAACCCCCATCAGACATCAGTAAGTGCTCTTGAGAGAAAGGGCCTAAGAGCTGTGGTAGTTGCATGGATCAGGGATATGCTAAGGTGGATGCATTGCCTCATTTGAGAGATCTGTGGAGCTCAGAGAAGCAGTGAATGGGGGTGGAGAGTCTGTGCCTCATGATGATAATCCTGGTCACAATGAGGTGTTGGCATGGGAAAGCGATGAAGTCCCTTTAAAGTGCTTCAATACAATGCTGAACTGGGGCTTTTATCCACTGAATGGCTACACAGCCATGCTGTTCTGCCAATGCACTTTAAAGCTAGGGACAGACATTCAAAAAGCCTGAGCCTGAATTAATTCAATCTTTGCAGGTTAGTTTAACCTGCCTAGGTTGAACCAGTTTGCAACTGTAAAGAGTTCCTCTGGACTGAGGAAATACAGGCCCATGCCTGCAGTGGTTCAGGTTAGAAGCTGGGGGGTGCTAGAGCAGCCCTCCCTTTCTTTCCATACTGCTGAACTGAGAGGGGGGCAGAGGGGCATAGCCAGGCCCCAGTAGGATAATCTGATTAAGGAGGGGTGTAAATCCCCACCCTGCCTGCACCATCCCAGGCTTTTCCCTGCTTACTGCTCAATGGGTGAGAGTGTTACCAGCTCCCAGCCCCTGGCTAGTACTCTGAGGCAAAGAGGAGCAGGGGGTGGGGAGTGGCATGCAGTGCATGCATCTGTTGATGATACTGAGCTTTTCAATCTCCCTCTCCCTGCTGCTTCCTACTGTCTGCAAACCTAACAGGTGAGGGGGGGCTGATAACAAGAGTGTTTATCAGCCCATCAACAAAACAAAAGCCTCTCTCATTAGTTCAAGCTCTTTTTAAACAGCTTTTTCCAAGGAAGGTGTGGAGGGACATTACCAGCTGACCTGTTGATTATCTCCAAAAAGCCTTAAGTGGATACTGTTCTGTCTGCCTCCCAGTGAAATTGAAGACACATAGATACCTCTTAGCATTAGTTAGCCTACCACATGCCTAGGGTCCGTGGGGCTAGGGTCTGTGCTATGGGAGATAGGAGAGGAGAGGATTCTTGCTTGTGTAGCAAGCAGCAAGAGGTGGATGGTAGGGTAGACGGAAGCCAGGCAGACCCTGCTGTACCTGCAGTCTCTGCTGAGCTCAAACCATGGAGCAGAGGGGAGGGGTCATCCTTGCTGTGAAGCAGAGAGCCCCTCCCAGCCCAGAGAGCATGCTGGGATGCTGGGGGAGTCTGGTTTATCTTAAATCAGTAGGGGGTCTGGATCACACATTGCATAAACCGGTTTGACCCAAATCAGTTAAGTCTGATACTACATTCAACCAGGTTTATCTCAGGTTTCAGCCATTTTGAAACTGGTTTATGTGTACTGAACTTCTACTTTGTTACAGATTTAAAGCAGTTTTTGATCACTTAAACCAGTTTATGTCTAATGTTTGTCCCTAGCCTAACTGGCCTAGGAAAAAGAAGCCAGTTCAATTTCCCCACCCATCCAGTGCTACAACCTGTGGCTGAGGCTGCCAAAAAAGGGCATTGTTTGCCAAGATTTCAGCATGATGTGAAACTAGGCACCCCTGAGATAGCAATCACTGAATAGTTTTTGCAAAAGTCTCAGGACAGATGTAGACTGGGTGGCACAGAGGACAGTGGTTAGATCAACAAAGCAGGACACTTGTCAGCTGTACCAGAGATGTTTGGAAGGTAGGGAGTGATGCCTTCTAGGCAGGGGTGATGCATAGGGGAGGCACCGGGTGGTCGCTGACCCCTGATTCCCGCCCCCCCCACTGCCAACAGTACCGGTGGCATCTGTGGGAGCTCCTGCTTACTGCCGCTGCGCTCCCACTGCCACACTCCTGCCACCGCCGTACCCTCCCAGCCGCCGGGGGCATGCATTGTTCATGCTTCGAGGTGCTGCAAGAAGGATTTCCCTGGAGCTTGGGGTTTCCCTTTACAGAAGTGTCTCTTTCTAGGAAATGGCAGTAAGTGCTGCTGGGCTTAAAACGGGAATAGCTGGCAGTGGGAGTCCTGTTTAATGCTTCAGCATGCCACTGGGAAATGGGGCTCTCCTGGAAAGAATGAGACATGGGGTCATTTGAGGCCTATCTGCAAAGCTGTTCCATAGGTGGTGTCACCCAACCCTGTGGAGGGATCTGGTCCCATCATCCTGGGTCTCATTCTGTAGGCTTGACTCTGCACAAGCACATACTTGTTTTCACTGTGCAGCATTTCTACAAGTTGCTCCACTGGCTTCTATGGAGGCTACTTGTTTGGATGTGTGCTCCTGGGTATAAGCATAGTTTGCAGAAAGCTTTCTCATCTCACACTCTGCAGTGTTATGCATCAACCTGAGCATTCGGGATGTTTTCCCTTCATTCCCATGTGTGTCCATGGAAGTGGGCGGACTGCCTAAAGATCGCATTTTCCTTCTGGTTGGCAGGATGACGACACAGTGGAGTGTGGAGGATGAGGAGGAAGCAGCAAGGGAGCGACGCCGAAGGGAACGGGAAAAACAGCTCCGGTCCCAGGCAGAGGAGACCTTGAACAACACCAGCTCTTGCTCAGAGAATGAAGTGCCCTCAGAAGAAAACCAGTAAGAAGAGCTTGAGTATAATTCACTGTGTCAACATGCTCCATCCTATTGCTTGGGCAACCTACTCCGATGCAGCTGTTTAGTTCTGTCACCCACTAGCAATGACTTAGCCACATGCAGTGGCTGTTATGTTTTCCAACCACTGGCTACTGTGATTTGATTGATGGATAACCTAAATTGTGTCTAGAAGAGCTTGGGCTTTTAGTTGAGACAGTGGAAGCTCATGCTGTAAAAGCCAGAAGTATTAAATATACTCCCAGGCTAGGGCAGAAATTACACATAAACTGGTATAAGTGATCAGAACTAGTTCAAATCTGCAACATAGCAGAAGTTCAGTGCACATAAACTGCTTTCAAGATGGCTGAAACTGATTTAAGATAAGCCTGGATGGATGTAGTATCAGACTTAACTGATTTAGGTTAAATTGGTTTATTGAACTTCTGTCCCAGATCCCCTGCAGATTCCAGTGAACTTACAAGCTGCCAGCATCCCAGGATGGCTTTGCACCACCCCTGCAAGCTCCTCTTGCAGGATGGGTGGCCTAGCTTTGGCCCAAGCTGTCTGCTCCAGCCAAGCAGGGAGGCATGCTCTAGCATCCCTGGCTTCTGCCCTGAGCCACTGCAGGCATGTGGCTGCATTTCCAGAATCAAAAGTGAATGTCTGTTCACTTACTGATTCAACCTACACAGCTTAGACTAACTTGTGAAGTTTGAAACAATTCAGCCCTGGGCTTTTTGACTGTCTGTACTTAGCCCCTGACACTGGCAACCCACTCAGCATAGCAGTTTCACTTTTCTAGTTGATAAACTGGGGCAGTTCTGTAAATGTTGAGCTAGTTCAATGATTGTCAACCAGGGTGCTTTGGCACCCTGGGGTGCCTTGAGAGCCTTCCAAAGGTGCTGTGGGATGCCACACAATGTTACCACTGTTATGTATGCCAACATGATTCATAAGATAATCCCAGAAATTTTGAATAGAAATTCATAGTGTTAGAAATATTTTGCCCTGCTGTGGTCTTCCTGAGGTCTTTGCATCAGGAGTACCACCCTATTATTTTTCTCTGGTTCAAAAATGCGTGAAAGCTATGAGCTGATGTTACTGAGGTGGGCCTTGAGTCTAAAAAAAGGTTGAGAACCACTAAGCTAGTTCATAAGGCCTATTTTGCAAGGCTGTTTAGCACATGATTAACTTTCAGCATGTAAATAGTTTCAGTAGACTGCCTGAAAGTTAAGCACTTGCCTATGTGTTTTGTAGGATCATGGCTCAGATTAGTAGGAAAAACGAAGTTAGTAAAGAAAAGAGATTGGGAAAATTGTGAACTCAAACGTTTTAACCAGCTCTATAAGGTCACAACCCCTCAAGCGTAAATGCAGCTATTTAACTTTGCAACTGGGATGGCAATAAAGTTCAGAGCATAAATAAGATGTTGCAGGATGTGGTCCTACTTTCATAGAAAAGCAACAGATACAACAATCCGTTATGGAAACATGGGGAAATATTTTCATTTTTCTCAGGAGAAAACAGGATTTTTTTTTCCCAAGAAGATTCAAGTTTTTGTTGTATTTTTATTGTGGACAGTTTGAAAATTCATGAAAAGAAGATATGGCAGCTGTGGGGAGAGCAGGGCAGGAAATAGGAAAAAAAAAGGACAAGGAAAAAACAAACCAGGTGTTTTTTCTTGGGGGTTATTGTGAAAGCTTGTCTGATACTTTGTTATATATAATAGAGTTTGTTGACAGCTTCTGGCAATTCAAAAATAAGACAATCAGGCTGGGATTTTTTTTTAATCTGTTTAATGAAGGGAGACAGCTCTCTCATCCCTGACCCTGATAGGATCTTGTACCTTATCCTCATTTTTCATTAGTGTTGATAGATTTGCATTCTTTGCCCAGTCAAAATCACAGAGATTGATTTTACTGGGAGTTTTAAGTGTGCTAAAAATGGATTGTGCTCTGAAGCCAAAAATTTCATGCCTGGGTGCCTAATGCTGGTATCTGGATAAGTTTAAATGCCTAAATAAAAACTCTGTATTTGCCAAAAGGTGATAAACACCCTACGTTCCTTGTTGTGTTCATTAGGGTTTCCTGGTGTTGAGAATCTCTGAAAGTCAGGCCCCTTATATTGAAGTTCATTAATGGCGATTAAAAGAGTAATTTTAGGCAACCAAACATGAAATGTTTGGCCTCAGTGACCAAGGACCATCTGAGAGCTTATGCTGAAGTAGGAGTCAGTAATAAGCAAAGTAACTCAGAGTAGCAGCACACAGGTCATGGTTCTTCCCAGGTAGTCAGACCATGCAACTTCTCTCATCTGCTAGAGGTAATCTTTTAGCTCAAGTTGTAGAGGCCTTTTTTTTTTAATATCCAGAGGTCCTGGGCTCAGTTCTCCATTCAGGGTTGTTGTTTCAAAAGGAGATGGGGCACACAGGTTTAGAGTGACTGCTGGAAAACCGCTAGGTGTCTTTTCTATAAGAATGGGCCAAAATCAAAACCTCTTATCTATACACCTAGAAACCCTGGGGACATTGGATAACAAAATCTGTTCTCCCCTCAGACAGGGCTGGCCTGCTGGTCACCTTGGGCTCCTATACACATGTGCGGAGCCTCCTCCAACGCACTGGAAATCCAGCACATTGGAGCAGATTCAAATGATCGAGTCTGCTGGAGCATGGAAATTGATGTGCTCCGTTAGCCTTCCACGTCACATGTATCCGCATCCCTGCATCTCTCTGTGCTGAAAAAATGGCGGCAAGGCTCTTTGAAATAAAACATGTTCTATGAGATTTAGTTCAATGCTGCCTGCTGCCATTTTTTCAGTGTGGGGATGCTGATACACATGATGTGCGGGCACTTTTAATTAGCACAGCCAGGGTTGGATTAACCTTTTAGTGGAACCTAGGCAAACAAACTCGTGGGCCCCTACTTAATACTGTATATTTATATTACCTTTTTCACTCAATAATTATAATATATAAAATAAGCACAACTGGGCCCCTTCTTCACTTAGGGCCCTAGGCATGTGCCTAGTTTGCCTATGAGTTAATTCGGCCTCGAGTGCAGCTCGCTAAGTAAAACATCCAGTGCCATGTCCTGCAGCACATGTAAAAATGCCCCTTGACTTCTGGCCTGCATGGACGAACTTTATCCAGCCTCTTTGCTTTGCTGTATAATCATACTGCCAGCACTAAGCTGCTGTGTCGTGCCTTCTCTAACTATGCTTCCTTCTCTACAGCCATTTCTCGACCCTTCTGCAGCTGCTGCTGGCCACCTGGGCTAGCTTGCTCAACTAGGGTCAACATGCCATTAATCTTCCATAAAGCTTTGCTTTCTCCCATATAAACACCCTCCCCCCCCCCCCCAACTCCTTACAGTGACTCATTCTATTCATTGAACTGCTGTTTCTGTAAACAGGCCTTCATCATTTCCTTGGAGTGCAGGGCTTTGTGCAGGCAAAAAAGAAAATATGGGTTCTGGGTACTCTTCCAAACAGCTGCAATACCTTCCCTGTAGATCTAGACACTGGAGTGGTGCCAATCCATTTTTGTGCTGAGAGGCTGGAGTCCCCTATTCCTTGCTGTCACCTCATTTTATTTCTCCAACCCAAAGATTTTTGGAATGGAGACGAGGCTGTGAAATCACAATTGCCCCAAAATCTGACCTTTAACCTGTGCCCCAAGCACATCTTGGAAACATCAGAGGTCTGTAGTTGGTATTCTTGGGCATCATAGAGGGGGCAGGCAGATCTGGAAGTTCCCTGTAGATCCCTGTAGATACAGAGGTGGGCATCCTATCACCCATGGAGCCATTGGATCCAGGCTGCAGAGAGCTTTACCCATGCTGTGGTTGGGTGGCAGAGAGAAGTGGCGGTGGCAGCTGGGCCATAGCTTGGACCTGAGCTGGGTCTTCTGCCCAAAAACATTGCTGGCTGCTGCTGTAGAAGCTTCCCCCTGAAACAGAAATCTCCCTCTGGGAAGCAGAACTGGCTGAGGGAGGATTTTCGTGACAGGGAGTGACTGCAGTAGGCTGTGTTCGCAGAAAGGTCACTAGGGCTAGGGACAGACATTACACACAAGCTGGTTTAAGTGATCAGAAACTGGCTTAAACCTGTAACAGAACAGACATTCAGTGCACAAAAACCAGTTTCAAAATGGCTGAAACTGGTTTGAGATAAACCTGGTTGAATGTAGTATCCGACTTAACTGATTTGGCCCAAACTGGTTTATACAATGTCTGTCCCAGACCCCTTCTTGGTTTTAATTAAACCAGACTCCCCCAACTTCCCAGCATGCTCTCTGGTCCACCCAGCAAGGCTGGCCCTGCCCCTCTATTCCCCAGCCAGAGCAGGGAGAGGCAGAGGCAGGGGGCTGGCCAGGGAGGGGTTTAATTCCCCCCTCTCTATCCTACTGGCAGGGACCCAAGCCTAGTCTGCCAGGCGCTCTCTCCTTGCTGCTGCAGCACCAGGCACCATGGCCCCTGAGGCAGAGGGGGACAGGGAGGAGAGTTAGTCTCTCCTCTACCCCCATTGGCAGCTGGGTCTGCCCTCCATTGCCACTGTGCTCCCTGTCTCCCACCCCAAGGGCCCTGCCTGGAGCATGAGCCTCCTGCAGCGTGAGTCCCTTCTTGGCAGGGGCCGCTCTGTGAAGCACGGCAGCACTGCAGGGGCTTGCAGGGCTCTGGCCCGCTCGGGACCCCAGTGATGCCATGCACAGCCTGCTGCAGCTCTGCCAGCCCCGCAGTGCAGTGCCCCTGCTGGGAAGGGGCTCGTACTCCCCCACATTATGACAGGGGCTGCTGCCCCCAACAAGGGCCCTTCCCCCCCCCCCCCGCTGTAGGGGTGGGGCAGGGGCATGGCCAGATGCTGGCTGTCAGGGCCCCTTGGGGTGGGGGGGCAGGGAAAAAGGTTATTACTTCTCCCTCCATCATCCAGTGGAGGAGACAGCAGGGGCAGGGATTTCGGTGGCAATGGCGGGCAGACCCGGCTGCCAGTGGGGGGAGAGGAGAGACTAACTATCCTCCCTGTCCCCCTCTGCGTCAGGGGCCATGGTGCCCCGCTGCTGCTCTTCCAGCTTCTTGAATGTCTGTCCCTAGCCTAGAGGACCTGTGCTATTTGGTACAACCTAGGACAGTGCTGTTCTTTGCAAGTCAGTCCTCTAGGAACAGGCACATATGCCTACCATCTCCAGGACTCCCACAGTACAGTTGGCAACAGGCATTGGCAAGGCCATTCTCTCCTCCTTCCCATGGGATGCAACTGGTGGCCAGCAGGGAGCTCCTGAATAGTCATAGTGGAGGATGGATTAGGGTCACAGTGAGCACTCTTGGCCCATGGCAAAGCTGCCCCTGTGACTGCGGGGACCAGTAGTTTGGAGAATGGTGTTCCCTACTTCTTCCTGCATCGAGACCATCCTGCACAGTATCTCAAATGGGGCCTCTATATGATGCTGATAACACTAATAGTAATAAGTAATAGACCATTCACATCTGGGATATCACAGACTGACATTGCATCACTGAGTTGTGAATCAAAGTCAATGTGGAAAATATCAGAGCTCGATATGAAAATGTCACAAGGAATCTGAAACACAGAAAGAGCTTCTTAACTCTAAAAATCTCTAGCTAAGCCACCTTAATTTTGGAGAGGAGTGAATGCCCCCCTCCCCACCCCCCTCCCAGCCCACTAGTGAAGACTTGCAGTATTAGGACCTTTAATGTCTCATAAACTACCAGCTCTTTCCATGTTTTTCATAAAGCACCAGCTGCAGGAGTCAAGTGAATATGACAATTTCAACTTTTATTTAAAAAAAAACAAAAAAGATTTTTTTTTTTTAGCCCTTATAGTATCAGAGGAAGACTTGAAAACATGACACAAGGGACATCCTCCCAGCTCAAAAGCCAGTAGGAAATGGAAAAAACCTCCTTCCCCATTTACTATTTATTGGCGATTTCATGGCTTAAAGCCAGCCTTGTGACTTGGAGGGGCCTGGCTTATAACTCCTTTAGCTTTTGGAGTTGATCACCCTGTGTCTTAAGGCTCTCACATGGGGTCACCAAAGACCTAGAGAATGGAGAAGCAGAGAAACAAAAAATGGGGCCAGACTCCCTCTGCAGCAGGCATATGTGAGATGCAAAGGAGCTGCTCCTCCCTCTGGGTGGCTGTGTGCTGGGGTTTGATGTGCTTTTGTGTTCAGCCATGGCTGTGGCATTTAATCATAGCTTTGGAATGCTCTCTGTATACTCTTTGGGCAGGATGATAAGCTTTACAGCCTCTTGCCAGCGGGTTAAGAAGTGCTTTTTCCCTTCTCTTCTTTCTTCTTTAATGAATGAAAAGAGCTTTTCCCTCCATGGTAGAACCCCAGGACACTTTTCCTGAGATGAAGCTTCTCTTTCTTGGCTTTTCCCGCTACAGCTCCTTCAAGGCTTTGTAGGAGGCAAAAGAACGAGTGCTTAGCTGTGCCATCTCAACGGTGGATGAGAAACTGCCAACAAGTGTGTTCTCAGGGGCACTTGAACATGCTGTTATGAATCCACACGGGAAAATGGCTATGTGAAAGTGACACCTATTGACATCTTGACTTCCACCACAGCAACATTCATCCCATTTGAGTCAGGAACTGCTTAGTTTGCTGGTTAGCAGAAGGTTGAAATACTTGCTCTAACAGTGAAAGGTCAGTAAGGACCCCAGAGAGCCAAGCCAGGTTGACTTCTGTCTCATACCCCACCACTTGCAGCTATTGTCCACAAACTGGTCCTTAATCCTTGCTGGGGGCAAGAAGGCACAGAGTGGAAGACTTGTAAGTAAGTTTAGTGCTGACATCATAGAAATCATAGAGAAGCAGGGCTGGAAAGGGTGTTGATGGGTCATCTAGTCCAACCCCCCACCCAAGGCAGGATCATTCCTATCTAAACCATCCTATACAAATTCATAATTTAACCTCCTAGTGAAACCGTCAACCCCACAGGTAAAGCAAGGGAACCACAACAGCCAACCCCCTGCTTTTGTACAAGGTTATTAATATACCCTCAAGAGATCTCAGGTAGAGTGAATATACACTGATGGTTTAAGGTTCTTAAAGTGTCTGAGCACCTCTGTATCCTCATGCAGCCCTGAGGGGCTAGGGCAGCGCTATTGTCCCGTTACATAGGTGTGGAACTGAAGCCCAGAAAGAATGTCCCGTGTGCACAATCAGGCAAGAAATCTGTGGCAGAGTAGGGCACTGAACCCAAGTCTTGGACTAGGGCTTTCACTACTGGACCACCCTTCTTTTCTGATTCATCTTTCATCCATTGCCTTGCACATTGTGCTGTCATTTCCACCACTGCATGTGTGGGTGGTGAAGTACTTTTGAGTTGGTCATGCGCTGCACTAATTTAAATGGTTTAGATGAACACTGCAGAGCAAAGGTGAACTAGGTTTCTAAGGTTTTGAGCTAGTTACTAAGGCAAACCTAGCCTGAAGGCTGCTCTACCTTACACCCAGTTTCTGTAGCAACAACAGTCAGCTTGGGATTGGTAGGAACAGAGAAGACTGGTCACCCTCCTTTTCACATCAGAAGTTGGGGGGAAGTGCAGGGTGACTACACTGTCTGAGTATCCCCCATCTACAAGAGGGAGGTTGAGAAACCCTGGTGGTTTCCCCTTTTAATGGAGAATGATTCCTCCATTTAATAGAGAATGAATGCAGAGGGGAGTAGCTCAGGCCCCAAAGCTATGACTGTCTGAGGATAGCAACTGTTACTAGAGGGGGGTTGTGATTTCCAGTTTGGTGCTAAGAGAAGAACAAGGTCCAGCTTGATCACTGTATGCCAGCTTTCCCATTCCACTGTACACATCTTTCTTCTGCTGTGTTTCAGGTGTGATTTTAAGCCCTCTGGTACTTCAGAGCTGGAAGAGGATGAGGGATTCAGTGACTGGTCACAAAAGCTTGAGCAGCGCAAACAGAGGTGAGTAGTGGAAAGCACATGGGAGGAACTAACATGCCTAAAAGGGGCCCAGAAAGCAGTGCCTCCTTGCAGAGGGGAAAAGAAAAGCAGTGAAGGGGCTCTTCTAGAGGGGGTGGTATCTGGCTGAGTCCAAGCCTAGAGCCTGATGGGTGACAGCTGTAGCAGGAAGTCTTGAGCTCAGCCTGAACTGCAAGATGAACAAGTCAAGGCAAACCCTCTGCCAGCTATAAATTTGACCTATCATGGAGAGAGAGGCTTTAACTACTCCCAAACTCTGGGGAAACGTGGATCTAGATTTAGCTCCTGATTTTGTTAGACTGTCCTATCATACACTTTCAGGAAGCAAGCATATATTAGCAGAGGCAAAAAGTATCTTTAAGCCACCTGGGCTGCTACAAGCGGTGAAATTGGCCTCCAGGCCTAGGAGCTTGCTTTCTGGTGCAAGCCAAAATCAAGGTATGCCACACCCCAACCCAGCTTGCTTCTGGCTTCTCCCCTAACCCCAGGGGTTGTGGGAGAGAATAGACAGTGTTGAGTCATTAGAAACATCTCAACATTGTGCTTTCTTCAAGCATGCTGCTCAGACTCACTACACTGTATTGGAGGTGGGGCTGAATGTGACTGGTCTCAATTCTATGCTGAGCTAAACTCAAACCTTTCACTGGGTTAACCTGATGCTTGACTTTCTGGCCTTTGTGATGTAGCTTTGTTATTAATATGATGTTGCTGTTGGAATTTCTGTCTTGAGATGGGCCCCTTTTCTGAAAAAGCTGCAGAGTTGATAATGCAATAAGGAGCTGAGAGAATTATGGTTTTAGCTATATATTTTTTCCAAACATTTCAACTTCCTTAAATCTGGAACTACTTTCTTCGCCTTTAAAGCCTCCGTCCTGAAGACATTTGCACATGTGCTTAGCTTTGTTCACATGACCATTCCCCCTAAGGTCAGATTTGTGAGATCATCGCCTTAATTACAAGTGGATCCTTTTCTTCTCTAAACCTGCACCTCAGTCATCCTTCCTGTAGTGGCTTCTCCACATAAGACGGACTCTGTTCAGTGTGTGAGTGCACAGATGTACGCCTTCCCTTTAGTGGAGAGCATTTCCCGTTCTTGGTGGTCAGACATATTGCATGTTCTCCTTTTCTTCCTAGAAAATGCTCTCTGGTTGGAGAAACTTAGTGGGGCTGCTGAACAGCAGCTGGGAGAGGGAAAATTGGAAACACCTGCAGCAGGTGATGCTCAGCTAGGGGGTGTTCCCAAATAGCTGTAGCAGGGAAGCATTTAAATCAAGTTAGTGTAGGCCTAGCAGCCTTTTAGTTGAAGTTGGTTAGATGCTATAGTAAAGGTGTAAATGCTACTGTTGCTGGCTTGTTTGGAGTAATTTATTTTCTCTGATAAGGTTCTCTATGTGCTTGTGCTAAATTTCATTGTAGTCCTTCAAGGTATTGCTTTTCCCACTCAGCCTTTTGCCGCTTTGGACTCTCTCATTTTGATACCCTAGAGTGAATATGCAGGTATGTTACACTCTGTAGCCGTTGGACTTGCTGGGCCTGCTGAAGGAACACGGCTGTACTAGAAAGGAGTGTTTTCTTCTTTCAGTACTGGGCTGTGGATGGGATCTGTCCCCTTGTGATGAAGAGAAAAGTACTTTTCTGTTTACATTGCACATGCATAAGTCTTTTGTAATGACCTGCTCATAGAGAAGCTTTACTTGAAGGAAATGGATCTCCTTGTTTTTTGTCCTGGGTTTTAAACTTCAAAGCTGCAGCAATAGTAGAAATCAATTTCTCTGACCCCAGGACCAGAGCTGCCTGTGCTCTGTAGCTGTGCCTTTGTAATAATGCAGTGATGGTGGTCTCTGTAGAGCAGCTCTGCATGTAATAGATATGTGCAGCTAGTCAAATGTATTGGGTTTGATTGTGAAAATAGGACTGTACTTTCAGTACAGGCCTTACAGCCTGGGATAGTTGTAAAAAGAGTCATAGTAAAACCTTCAGAGTCTGTTGTGAGAGCACCAGTTGGGTGTCTAGTAGCTACAGTGACAAGTATGTTGGATGTGTATTGGACTGTGTGAAATGTTCCTCCGCTTTGCAGAGTTTGTTGGGGGTAGTGGCACCCTCCTCCATGGTGATGTAACACTGCTTTTAGGGGAGAAGGTGGCAGAGGGATCTGCTGTGATTCACTGAAGTATGCTGCTATTTCGGCAGAGGCAACAGCAGAAATAGACAGCCTTGCTGCCTGTTTTATCAATAAACATGGAGCAGGGAAAGCTGCTTTCTTAATAAAACCTCAGTGCAGAGCTGCTGGCTGCTGATGACTCTGGTTGGAGGTGAGTGATTGTTGTCATTGACCTGCAGCTGACTCCCTATCAAGAAGTCCCTAGCCCTGGCATGGTATTGCAGAGGTGGTCAGAATCAGAGCAACTCTCACATCTACTCTGGACTTGGATGTGCTAGGATGACTCTGTGGAAAGCTGCCGGAGTTGAGTGATCCACCTTGGGCTTTATCTAGGGCAAAGAGAGCATGCTGGCTAGTGCAGGATATGTTGGGAGCGCTTAGTTCTGTGCAACTGTCCTGCGACTTGGGTGCAATCCTGAGAGGTGCTGCTTTCTTCCCTTATTCATGTTGAAGCCATACAATCTCAAGTATAGGCTGTGATTTATCTTTTAATAGGGGAGTAAGAAAGAATGCTTACCCCAGGGGCCTTATTTATTGACTTCTCTCTCTAATACAGTGGTCTAACCTGTGGTCCATGGGCCCCTGGGGGTCTGCTGACTGTCTGAGGGGTTTGTGAAACATGACTATGATCAATCAAAAAAATGTGAATACCCGCACTTGCAATTCAGAGGGGTTTGCACCTCCATTCAAATTTTTTTTTTAGGAGTCTGCGAACAAAAGTTGGAAATAACCACTCTGTCTTCTCTGCCAGGAACACCTGTTAACCGGTCTCCTTTTAGCTCAGGTGGATAAGGCCTGTGTTTAGGTGTGCAGGGTCCAATTATTCTGTACATGAGTGTATTGGATCTGAATATGTTTTGAAAAGGGGCTTCTGAGGAATGTCATCTGTCCTGTAGTGAGAGCTACTGTAAGTGGCCTGCATGCTGCCCCTGGGAGAGGTGTTGATTTATAATCAGCTGCATTGCAAGCACTTACGATTTAAGGACTTCTGCAAACGTGTTTACAGTCTAAAGATGCTACCCAGCAGAGACGAGTCTTGTTCTTTATTTGTATAGTTCTTCCTACAGTGGGGTCTGACCTATGACTAAAGCTTTGTGCTCCTGCGATGCAGGCAATTTTTGTGTTCTTCCACAGTGCTCATCACAACTGTGTGTGGGTGTCAGTACTGTGGCCAGGCATGGGTGTTCAAATCCACTCTGGGGATGGGTTTCACTGGGAGAGATGGGGAAGTGCTAGGCTAGAGTTGCTGTCTGGGTATTTTATTTCCCCATTCTCATACCCTAAAGCTTCTGGAAAGTAAAATGATGGGCACTTGGTAGTATTCTCTTCCTCATTGACCTGGTGCTCCTTCTTGGATTTTTATGGCAATACAAAGCTGCAAAAGGCTGTTATTTCCCTTCAGCTGGTGGAGAAACTCTGAAGGGCTAGGGATAAGGCGACAAGAAGAGTAGTGAATCTGACCTTGTACCATAAGATGCAGTGTGGGACTTCTGTTGGCCCCTTCTCGTCGGCTAGGGATGGAGATTCAAAAAGCCTGAGTCTGAATAGATTCAATCTTTACAGGTTAGTCTAACCTGCAAAGCTTGAGCCAATTTGGAGGTGGATAGACATTCCCTTTTTCATTCCAGAAATGCTGGCACATGCCTGCAGTGGCTCAGGCTAGAAGCCATGGGGGTGCTAGAGCAGCCTTCTCTTTGTGTTGCAGTGCTGAGCTGAGTGGGGTGTGGCCAGGCCTGGGCAGGATGCACTAAATATTCCCCCCCCCCCAGCTGCCTAGCAGAGAATGTTTATCACCCCTAACTCAGTGTTTGTTAACCCATTAAGAAAACAAAGCCTCTCTCCAAGCTCTTAAACAGCTTTTCCAAGGAAGGACACTAAGCTAGCTGTTGATTAGCTCCAAAAAGCCTGTCTGCCTTTGTCTTCCATAGCATGGACTATAGCCAGCATGTGGTCTGCTAGCTAATCCTGAGGTGTCTGCATTAAGGCAGAAGGGTGTTGGGGGGTGGGCAGAAATAATCCCTGCTCAGCAGGGAGAAGCCAGGCAGATGCTCTGTGCCTGCAAGTCTCTGCAGGAGCTGCAGCCAGGGAGCAGAGGGGAGAGGTTAGCTCTGTTGTTGAGCAGAGAGCCCCATCCAGCCCAGAGAGGATGGTGGGGGAGCCTGGTGTATCTTAAATCAGCAAGGGGTCTGGGACAGACATAGCATAAACTGGTTTGATCCAAGTCTGTTAAGTCTGATACTATATTCAACCAGGTTCATCTCAAACTGGTTTATATACACTGAACATCTGTTTTGTTACAGGTTTAAGCCAGTTTCTGATCACTTAAACTGGGTTATGTGTAATGTCTGTCCCTAGCCATTGGGAGAAGTATCTTGGCAGAAGCCAGGCTACTGAGATCAGCAAAATATCACTGCAGTTAGTAGTTCCACATAGCAGGTACAGGGCAAGTCTTTGACTGGAGCCTGTTTATCTTTTACAGCTGTCTTGTGCCTTGCAGATATAGCATGTTCTGAGATGGCATAAATCTTGACTTTTCCATTCATGCTCTGCCACCTTGTGCTTCATGTGCTATCTGTCTCGAAGGTACGGGGGGGTGGTAAAAGGGTGAGGTGTGGCAATATCTTCCATTTCTCCTAGAGTATGAATAAATCTGCTACTTTAGCTCGTGTGATAGTAGTGTGTACTCTTTTCAGCCAGAGGAACCAGGTGTTTTCATTGCAGCTGACCAGCCCTGGTTATGCAAGTAACAGTCTTTTGTTTGGCAGCATTGTAGGAGGAGAGCTTTGGTGGTGACAGTAGCATTCCTGGCCCTTTTACAAGC